CTTGGCAGCAAGTGCCTTTACCTCACCAGCCATTTTAACTGAAGGTGTCCATCAAAGAATGCTAAGCAAGCTTTCTTATTGAGGTACACACCACTTCTTTGTTTTTAACGGTTGCTAAGTAACATCAACCACAAAAGTAGTTTTCATTTAGTTCAGTGGTTCTCAACTAAAGATTCTATTCCCAGTAGATGTTATCATTGTCTATAGACATGTCTGGTTGTCCTAACTGGGAACAGTATGCTATTGGCTTGGGATCCAGGCAGAGACTAAGGCTATTCAATAATCTAAAGTGCAGAAGCTAGCCCCTCATCACTAACACTCCAAATACCGGTAACAGCAGTTTAGAAAACCTGGTATTCTGAGCACCACCGTGTTACTGTTGGCTGTTAGCTCCACTGTTGGCTGGAACTGTGCATGTGTCCTGGGTTTCTGCCCTAGTACTGCAAAGAAGAGGGGCAAAGGCTTTCCTAACCTGCTTGGCCAGAAATAGCAGTGCATAGCTACAATCCCAGCACTTGGGCAGAGATAGAATGATCACAAGCTCAAGACCAGCTTGGGCTATGTAAGCAAATTCCAGGCCAGCAGGGCTACATGCTGAAACCTTGTCTCAAAACAACAAAAACTGTGTACAGTGATGCATGCTTGTAATCCCAGCTACTTAAGAGGCTAAAACAGAAGATTACCAGTTCAAGGGCAGCCTAGGCAACTAATTTAGATTCTGTCTTAAAAAGGAAGAGGACTAGAGATGTTGCTTGGCACTAGAATGCTTGACCAGCATGTTTGAGATCCTAGGTTCAATACCCAGTACCATAAAAATAAGAAAACCAAATAGACACAGTGGATATTTTAATGAAAGCAATGGTCCTGCCATTCTTTATTTCTCATAATAATAGTTTTCAAAAGAAAAAGAATTACACGTTTTAAATTCTGATCAGAAGTTCTTTTTACATTTGAACAATAAAAGAATGAATCTCTTAGTACTTAAAAAATACTTTCAATGTGTGAGCATACAAATTATCATATGATAACCATTCAAAAACTGGAGTAAGCTCACTTTAAAATGAAGCACACATAATGCTCAGTAACAGTAGGGAACCAACATTACCATCCTCAGGGGTTCTTAGGAGCGTCCACAATCAATCCAGTTTCCAACCAAAGTTTAGCAGAACCTAGTTTTAAAATATCATTGGAATTGTTCCCCCCCCCCCCTTGATAAAGTTGTAGCATGAGGCAGTATTTACAAAAAAGCACATGAAAGATTTTTATTGGTAATCAACAACTTTGAATATTGGCTTTTACTTCTTAAAGCAATGAATTACAAACTCCTTTTTATAAAAAGGTCAAAGCACAGTGGGAGGATATCTGCATGTCATTTTCAAACTGCAGCAATTCAGAACACAAAATACCTCAGGCGGCCAGCACCTAATTTATCCTGTAGGTGACAAAATTAAAAAACAAACACACTAACCTCAGGTAGACTTCTGAGTGTGTCCCTGCACTGTTAGCAAAGCATGACTTCAACTTAGGACTTAGAACACAGGGCTTTGGTTTTGAGGCAGAGTCACATGTAGCTCCAGGCTAGCCTAAACTTGCTAGGTATCTGAGGCTGGCCTCAAGCTTCTGATCTTTTTTGCTTCTATCTCCCAAGTGCTGGATTACAGACTTTATTCACCACGCTCAATTTAGAATTCGGTTTTGTTGGGTTTCTTAGTTTTTTGTTATTTTAAACATTTTGTGTGAGTGCGTATGCTCAGGCACCTGTGTTCTCAAGTACCAGTGGAAGCCAGAAGAACTGCTCGAGTGAGCTGTCCCACATGGGTGCTGGGACCTCAGACATCACGATGGAGCGGCAAGCACCCTAGCTGCTGAGTCATCATCTCCTCAGCCCCGCCCCCTGTTTATTTTTTTATGTGTGCTGATGTGAGTTCCCACACGAGCATGCCATGGTGCAAGTGCAGAGGTGAAAAGACAACTTTCCGGAGTCAGTTTTCCTCCCGCCATGAGCTGTTGGGGAGCAGACAAACTTGGGTGGCGGACTTGCACAGAGAGCAGTCTACCTGCTCAGCCATCTTGGTTATCCAGAATCGGTTTTTATTTTTCCTTTAATTTTTTCAATGTTTATTTTTTATTTTATGTGCATTGGCATTTTGCCTAAATATATGTTTGTATATGTTTGTGTGAGTGTGTTGGATGCCCTGGAGCTAGAATTACAGACAGTTGTGAGCTGCCATGCGTGTTCTGGAATTGAACTGGGATCCTCTGGAAGAGCAGCCAGTGCTCTTAACCACTGAACCATCCCTCCAGCCCCCAGAATGGAGTTTGAAACTTACTTACAGGTGTAATAACTTTATGGCTCTAAATTAACACAGATTGACTGACACGCTAGCCTGACGCACATCAGTTCCTGGGTCAGCAATGGCCTGATGCACACCAGTTCCTGATTTTAATCTAACACCAAAAGAGAAATGAAGGAAAGAAAGGGATGTCCTGAAGTCTTTTTTTTCCCTTGCTTTATATCTCCCAAGTGACCTTGTCCTGGTGAGAAAACAGTAGCAATATCAAAGTAGTCATGGAAAATTCATTAGAGGAATTTTAGAAAGCAGTGGCCACATCTAAATCCCAGCACTAGGGGCTGGAAGCAGGAAGATCACCCAAAGTTCGAGGCCAGTGTGCTCTACACAGTGAGTTCCAGATCAGCCAGGTATACATATCGAGAACCTGTCTCAAAAAAGGGGGAAGAACTCATGGCACCATGATTATGACAATGTTGAAGTGTAACAAACAATGCTTATAAATGATTACCGTTTAAGGTGTTTTATGTCCAATTGTGGGTGGGCATGGGGGGGTACCCATTATGTCGGCACTTGTGGGAGTCAGTTCTCTTCCACAAACATGGGTCCCAGGGACCAAACCCAGATGGCTGGGCTTGGCAGCAAGTGCCTTTACCTCACCAGCCATTTAAAGAAGCTAATTTTAAGTCAAATAGCAGTTCACGCCCAGGAGTTGATGGCCATAGTCTCTGATACTTTTCCCTTCAAGATGGAAATTCTAATCAGTGTCCTGAATGTGTCATTAAAGAATCAAACGTGAAAAATTCCAGTAATAATAAATACACCTGAAGAACCTGGGTGATAAAAAGGGAGGGAGTAGAGCATAACAAAAAATGTTGGCACAATAAAAACTATTTTTGAAAATGGGGAATAACTGTCAGGCATGGTAACACAGACCTGTATCCTCACACACAGGAGACTGAAGCAAGAGGGTCTCGAGTTAGCAACCATCCTGAACTACCATGACTACCATGACCACCATGCCTGGCCATAATGTATTCTATCTTTAAACAAACAAACAGCTGTTTCCTAGCTCTTCCCCCTGAAACAATGGCCACCTTAATAACAGCAATTATCCGTAGAGACTTTTTCTGGAATAAAAATGGGAGGGGGGTGGATTGAGACAGGGTCTCTTGTAGCCTAGGCTGTCCTTGCCTTGCTATGTAGCTGAGGAAGATCTTGAATAGATCCTCCTTACAGGCATGTGCTACCATCCCCAGCTTCTGACTGTGTTTTGAAATGTCATTCTGCACAGAAAGAAATCAGGCTTCTGAGGGAGTTGGTGATTTCAGGTCCATAATAGCAAACACAAATTCCACATGGAGGATCTTGCCATAGGAAACAGCAAGGAAAGTAATAAAGTGTTCAAAGGACTCAGCCAACCTTCAAGGAATGGCCAAAGAAAAGAGGAGTCGGACCTCAATAAAGTGACGCTTGTAATGGATGGAAGTCCATTCATAGATGTCTAAATATATGAGTTCATAATGCTTTTGTTTCTTTGGTTTTGAGACAAGGTCTTACACTATAGCCCAAGCAGGCTTGCAACTTGTAGCCCAGGTTGGCTTTGGACTTGAAGCAATCCTGCTCTGCCTCCCAGGCATACGCATGTCACCATCCATGAGTACTAATGTTTCTTATAATAACACATTAAGCTATACATTTTGCATCTGGTTTTTAGTATGTGTGCTTTATTTTATTCTTTTTAAGATGTTAAAATTAAAAACAAAGCTTAGGAGTTCCACTCAAAATTACTAATGTGAAAACGTTGACAACAGATTGGTCTTAAGAAATCACTTATATTATAAAACACCTCTAAATAATAAGCTACAAATATTTGAAAAATATTCCATCAAATTTTTATATGTGCATATACAGTATGCCAATAGTTAAGTCCACATAATCTTTTTTCAGTTTTTTAATGTTTTTTATGGTCTCATTAGCCAAGGCTGGCCTTACATTTCTGATCCTTCCACCTCCCAAATACTTGGGTTACAGGCATTCACCACCATGCCCAACTAAGTATACATTCCAAACACAAAATCCATTAGAGTATTAGGTACTGTAATTTGGTTAAAATGGATTTTGTTGATTTCAAGTTCTTTCCTTTCCTCCTTTCACATGAGGTTATTTACATTCCTTTATTGGAGATTAGAGCATGAAGATTTGAATAAATTTCAGATTTCCTTTAATGTCCATATTTTGTTCCTTTCTCCATCTTTTTGTGCAGAACGGAGATTGGTTATCTTGCCTAACCATGATGATAGTCATGAACATGTAGCATTATGCACAGCATCACCAATGTGCACATGGAGCTCCTCCACCACATACTCAGCCTCTGTCTCTTCCATCTGTTAATAGCTTATGGAGACTATTGCCTGTGGTTAAATGTCTACAAAACTCAAGAATGTAAAGGCAGTTCTAAACCGGAATGAAAGCAGTTTTTGAATGCAACATAGCAAAGACAAGTGTGTAACACTGTAGTACAGTTTTCTCCATCAAACATTGACAATTTCCCTCCAGTCCTTCAAGCAGCATCTTAAATGGTATAAGTGAATGGTCCCTTGCTATTTATAAAATTATGTGGTGTTTGAGTGGTTCACATATTCAAGAAGTGAGCGGTCTAACACTCTTCGGATAAGGGCTTCCTCGATTATATCAAAGTCCTACAATAGAAAAGAATGATTAGAAATAGTAGTGGTTCAGAAATGGCACCAGGCTCAATGCAATGCTCACTTTTCAGGAAACAAGTTCCCTGAGTTCTAGGGCCTGTCCATCATTCCAGGAAGCCTGTCAGACCTAGAACTTATTGGAGGTTACTGTTTCCTGTTTGACTGCACTGGCCTTTCAGGAATTGCCATCAAGTCTTAATGAATAGTTTATAGAGAATCGTAGACATCTGGGTTGGAAAAATGGCTCAGTGTTAAGAACACAAACTGCTCTTCCAGAGGACCTGAGCTCATTTCCTAGCACCCACTGTGATGGCCAAAGAAACTCCATTTTGTACTAGGCATCCACCTTGGTATCTAATAGCTGTTTGTCTCTGACTCAAGTTACTGGAAGATTAGTTCCCGGCAACCCTGACTCCTTGACACCCCCCACCCCCAGAAATGCACAGCTGTAACCATCTGCTCGTTATGATGACTAACTGCCGATTTTGGCTTCTGTGACTTACTTGTACAGACATTCAAGAATATTCTGAGGTCACCTCCACTATCTAATCTCTGCACAGCAGACTAGTTCTTGTGGACAAAAGGCTTTAAAAGCCCTTCCTTCGCCTGCTTCTGCGAGGCACATCTCTGATTTGGGTTAAAGACTGTGTCCCTGCTAGTAGCCTTGATAAATTTGTTTAATTATACTCTGAATTGACTCTGGGGTCTTTTCTCAGTAGTCTCAAACTCTACAACACCACATCAGGTAGCTCATAACCACTAAAGACTCTGATGTCCTTTTCTGACTTCATTGGATAAACATATATCATCCCCCCACCCCACCCCCCGCAACATACACCTAGACATATAAGTAAAAAGTAAATTAAAATCTGAAGGTTTAGAAAAGTAAAAGAAAGCCTTGTCAGGTCAGGATGGTCTCTCTATTTCACAACTGGAATAATGTTTACACATTCCTGCTAGTTTGGGGAGGGGTCAGAGTTGAATGACAGCATTTTCCTAGAATGGGCAAGACTCCAGGGTCGATCTCTAGCACTGGGGAAAAAAAATCAGGCCACTCCTAGGACTCAGAATGCTAACAGTTCTATTAATTATTGATATACAGACAGGAAAATGCAAACAAAATGCTCTTCCTGCTTATTTATGTGCCAAAGTAAAATTTAAGCTTCATATCAGCACTTCTTTAAGTAAAAACAAAAGGCAGTAAGAAACCTATCCCTCTCTAGTCTCTCTTGCTTCTAAAACAAAAGGTGAAATCGCTATTGAAAGTCCATTCTATCATTTTAGTTTGTTCTTTGAGACAGTGTCTTACTATGGCTGGCCTGGAACTTACTATGTAGACCAGGCTGATCTTGAATTCACAGAGCTCTGCCCACCTCTGCCTTCCCAGTGCTGAGAACAAAGGCAAGCACCACCACAGCTGGTTAAAGAAGACCACTCCAGTATCAGTAGTGAATGCTATAAAGCACTCTGCTGTCTTGATGTTCTCCTTAATGCTAATGCTAACACTGAACACTTTACCCACATGCTCCATTTTTCTCGTATAATTTTATTCACAGGGATTTTTAAACAGGACGCTTAACACAGATAGCACAAACACACAATGTAAAAGTTAGAAATATACTTACTAAGAAATCATCATAAAACAAAGTGTGGCTGACTTGCAAGTGTCTAATTAGACTGCCATTGAAGGTGCTTGGACTCTCATTAGGTAGCAAATGGCAAAGTGGGCAGAACTAGAAAGAAAGACCAATAAATAGTTAAAAAAGGAATTTTAAATAACTACTAATCCCAGAATTTTTAAAAAGAAGTCACCATTGAATGTGAATTTTAACTATGAATCCATTGGCCATATCTCAACATTGTATTTTGTTTGTTTAGTTTCGTGTGTGTGTGTGTGTGTGTGTGTGTGTGTGTGTGTGT